GAAAGGACCCTGTGTAATTATGTTCTCAGCAACTGAGGCTTTAGGGAAAAAAAACGCAATTGGATCTTTTGGAATGAGCCAAGAAAACCTGTAACTGCTTCCAATGAAATTTAGCATTCCTCCACAATGTCACAATTGAAGCTGACAGTAAATACAACAGCAGATATAAAAGTAAAGTGGCTTTGTGAGCGTTCATCAGTGAGAGGGTATCTGGATATACAGCTGCCTTCTGCTGTGCATGTTAACTCACTCACAAAGCTACAACATTTTTGAAAGAACCCATCATGCTCAGGATTTCCTGAAACAAAAATCCTCCCTTTCCACCCTCTGCACGTTACGTTGCTGCTTCTCTCTTGAAAAGGGTTATCCCAGAAAACCATCTTCCTGCTTACCAAGTACACCAAACTTTTCACAGTCATACTTGTACCAAATCAAACCACTGCCGGGTAAATCTGGGGATCTGTGCCACTTAAAGCCTACCAGACTACAAACTTGGCAGACCTTGCACTAAGATGGAAATGTCATACCTCACATCCTCCCAGGAGGAGTCAGAGCTTTTCAACAGCACCACCTGGAGCCAAACATACTGAAAACCTGCCTTATTTAAGTTGCCTCATCCAAGGACTGGCAAATACTCAAATAGTAAACAAATTTATCCAAAACATATGCACTTCCATCAAGAAGAAAAACTAATTAAACAGTACATTTTCTAAAAGGTTTGTAAGATCGAGGAATCAATATGGTCTTAGATCAAACAGGGGTTGATATAACTGGTGTATCACTCCACTGATGATTTACCAAGATTCAACTTTAAAAATTAGCCTTCTAGATTAAATTCTTAGTGGTGAAGGAACAGAAGTAGGCAGAGAGAAAATCCTCCTCCGGTTAGCAAAGCTAATGGTGTCATCTTCATAGAAGGGAAAACTTGCATCTTGCTTGAGCAGCACCATGGAATGCTGTTTTTTCAGGGCTAAATGGGGCATTACACCCCAAAAACGGAGATACACAGGGGTATCAGAAAACACAGGTGAATTTACACCCAATCTTTTCTAGAGGTCGCACAAGCACTGGAGGAAGCACAAGCTTCTAGCTCATTTCTACTACAGATAAAGACTGACACCACCCTCTTATTCCACGCTAAAGATGTTTTTGAAGAAAGACATTTTTAGAGCATTTTCTACAATGGTATTTTATGTCCACGACCAATTTACTCAAAATTACATGCATTATAAACTAAGCAATTTTTTTGTTTTTCTATTTTGTCCTCTTAAAACAAATAAAGTCAGTTTCTGCTTTAAAAACAAAAATCCTAATCTGGAGTTCATAGTTGAGACCAGTCTGTCCAAAATGAGTTCGACTGAAGCATATCCCCACTAGTTGAAGTAAAAAAAGTCTGCCTAGGTTGGTAACCTGTTTCTGACAGTGGCTATCTGAATGATCAGGGAATTAATGTAAGGACAGGATTTGCATACAGAGATACTTCCCTAACATGCCCTCTCCTTCTCAGATGCTATAGCTTTAGGACTTTTTGAGCAAGAGGTCATGCAGCATAACTACTCAGCATAGCAAGATAAGTGATATCCCCTTTTCATCACTCTTCTAAGAAACAAGAGCTACATACCCTAACAAACTTAATCTAAAAATAAACAATTCACAATTCCCAGATTTCTGCTAGTGCAGATTAAAAATTTGCAGAAGTCCATTCACAGGCTATTCTGTGCAGAAGAAGCTGTTCGGGCTGTAAGAACTGTTGTGTAAGAACCTTTTCTGGCCAGAAAAGTCAACCTTTGCTTATGTTTCAATATTGACTCATGTACCTACCACTTAGCCCCATATTCACTTTATAGACCTTTGATGAAGTGTTACAGAACCTTTTCAAGAAAGATATTATGCTCTCTTTCTCCCAAACCATGTCCTTAAGACCCAGTGGACAAGTAATTTTTTTTCCTGTACCACTCCCATAATACCTTAATTTCTCTGACAGTTGAGTTCCTCCTCCTTTCACATCTGGCTGGCAACATGTGGAAACTGAAGCAACTCTTAAGTTTCTTGTTGAGGTTGCATTCTTTATTTGCTGAGTCTCTCAAAGTTGGACTTTTCTGAAAAGATGCTGGAATACACCCTCTGATATTACTAATACAATAACCTCGAGTGCTGTGAGAGCATAAGGAGAATGAACTTCAAAAATTAGCCAGGCTCCCTGAAGAGCCAGCCCTACTACTGTTGTTGGGGGCAGTAGATTGGGCTAAGCAAACCACTCATCGGATACAGCAGGAAAGTTTGATCCTGTATCAATAATGCAATGTATTCTCAAACTTTCCTTGTGCTTGACTTGCAATTTCAAAAAAAGTCTCCTTCCTTTTAAGAAATAGAAATTCAAAAGGGGAAGGGGAAAAAAAAATTAATTATGACCACTAGAGAAGAATAAAGATTTTTCCTGACCTCCTACTATTCATACTAAGTACCCCAGCTACATTTCTGCTGCCCCGTGGAAAGCTTACTTTGTGTTTTTCATTTATTGCTGTGGACTGAATCCCTCTTCATTGTGAAATTAAGAGAAATTTTGTACAAACTGAACCAGACAGCAGAGGACTGGATTTTTTTATATAATGCCATGTAGTGCAGACAGTTGCTTTTACAAAGTAGATAGTACTGACATTTAAATTCCAACATATAAAGACTACACCAAAAGCCTAAAAGTTCTTTAAAAGTGACAACAGAAAATAAGTACTACTTTAGCAAATGAATTCTGATACATATCAGAACTTTGGTGATAAAGTATTTGTTGTTTTAAGCTCTGATTAAGACTACAGAGCCTGTATATAAAACACAGACAAGTTAGAGGCAAGAAACATGAAATGATCAAGCCAAGAGAAACAGTGGTTTCTTCTCAATAGTAACAACTAGTTGCTGTCCATTAACTTTACAAAACTCTCCTAAAAGCAGTGAGTTGCATAAATTAGCTGAGGATAGCTTAGCTTGCATGTGTTATTCATGATGGTATATACTGAGAATAGAGCCTGACTCTGCTGCAGGCCTATAATCAACTATTTAATCACTTGAATTTAGTTTAGAAATTCTACAAGCAATTAAATGGCCTCTATTTTGCCCAGTTCTACTTTAAGAGCTGCAGAAGAATCATATTTCCAATTCTTGCTGTCTAGACTGCGCTGTTTTGACTAGCTCTCCACTGACTGTAACAGGGTCCAGATATACACACCTACATGGATGTAAAATACCCCTGCAAGTATCTACCCTGACAAAAACATCACTTTTACCACCCATAGCAGGTAAGGAAAAATAGTACAGCTGTTAAGGATCAGGTAATCTACCTATACACTTTTTTTGGTTTAGGTGTGTGATTCTGATTAGAAATAAACACATGGACCAGTTAATAAGTGCCAAGTTATTCAACCCTTAGTGCCATCTCCATCAAAAGTGGATCTTGGCAGATTAGTTGGACAGTCCCTTTTGTAAAGCAATGTATATTTTAGAAAAGGGAATGTCAAAAGAGAGAGCCTACTGAGATTCCAATAAAATACTTGATGTACCTCGAAAAATTTTTAGTTAAATTGGTGAAATTAGAAGTTCTGCAAGTTGTGCAAATAAGTGCTTAAAGGGGTTTCCTGAAACAGTATATAAAACACTAGAGCAATAATAAATAATAGAGTTCACCTGAACTGGACTACAAGACAATCGGAGAGTCCTAGCATAACCCAACAGCGCATAAAGTCAATAGATTTGTCAACGGTGAGGTTTATGAGCATCAGACAAGAAGAAGTAAGTGACTCTGTCCTAATAAATTTCACCTTACTTACTACTACAGCGTATCAAAGCACCCCATCTGTCATACACAAGAATAGAGGAGCCTATCATCATTTGGAAGCAACAAAGGAAAATGGCCATTTCACCAAAATCTATTGTGAGATGGCTGTGAACCACACACGTAATGTTGCACAGAAAAATTGCTGATACCTCTGTACAAATGACTGACACTTCACTTGCAGTCATATATACACCATTTTGGTCACTTGCATTCAAGAAAGTTGATGAAAGTAATGAAACAGATTCAAAGAACAACAATAAGGAAAATCCAGAGGACGAAGAGCTCATCTAGTGACCAACCTAGGAAACAATGGCTAGTTGGCCTGTCAAACTAAAGACTGCTAACATACACAATTGTTATTTATAAAGAGGAGGTAAAAACACTGGAGAAAAATACTAGGCTGAAAAATAACACTGCCACCAGCAAATGCATAAACTGGCAAGAATATACTTAACTGGAAATGAGAGAATAGTTCTACAGTCTCACTGTGGAAACTTCCCCTAAGAATACAGGGGACAAAAATCTAGTTTTCACACACAACATAATCAGTTTACAGAAGAGTTTATATGACATCGCTGGTGACTGGAACTCAGTGGTGCTTCTGTTTTTTACCTCAACTACGCTGACTGTAAAGTTCAGCACATAATTCCCCAAATGTTTGGATACTCTTAGTTTTTGAGCTTACGTATCAAATTGAAGCTTAGAGTCTGTGTTTTATTAAACTGCTCGATTACACTGCACTATCATACATGCACAGCCATTATCTGCAGGCCCAAAACAGTTCTGTTCAAAATACTATTTCAGATAGGCTTGCACTAGCGTGGATGCACTATCATAAAAACCAGCATAACCCATTTTCAGCTGCTACACTCCTGGATTTTTCACATTTGCTAAAACATAGTACCTGAAAAGATGCTTTGGACCATCTTGGCCTTTATACTTAAACACAAGCTACGCTAACGAGAAGATCACATATGGGATGACAAACCAGCACTGAACTTCACATGCAGTTTAGAGACAATTATAAACCACAAAATCTACAGTTTGCTTGCTAATTATATAACTTAAGAAAAGCTTTACAAAAGCTATGATAAAAAAGCAGTTTAAAGCCAGTAATAGGGATAACAGCTAAAAATCAAGAAATGGAGAGTCTTACTAATAATTGTGTTCTTACCTTTTCCAGGACTTAGGTTTTGGTCTATAAACACCTTAAGCTCTCCATTGGCTTCAATTAGTCCAGCCTGTTAAAGAAAGTAACTTTTATTAAATTTACAAACACAGAAAGCCTTTTATTGTTAAAGATTGAAGGAATCATACCAGAAGTCTCTGCTGCTGCCACTCACATTTTGTCACAAATCTGCACTATGTAATGGCCCTGTTTGTGGCACAGTATTTGCCAAACTTTAAAACCTTAATTCTGTAAGTATCATATTCTTATAACAGAAGAAGAAAACCAGTTTACACCTACCTTGCTACTCTGTGTCCTAACTAAGCTCTTACAGCGTACATGCACTGTTTTAACAGATAGCTGAACACCCTTTTAATTAGAACCACTGACACCTGTGACTGCACCTTTCTCTGGGTAACCACAGAAGTTAGCAAAATTATAGCAAAAACAGTAGAGGTGGTAGAGTGCCTTAAGACATTTTAATCAGAAAAAAAAAAAAAGGCATTAAGAAGAAATACCTTGAGCTTTTCAATTATTATTTTTTAAAAGATCAGAATATAAAGTCCCTAAGTGACAGAGCTATAGGATTACATACAAGTTCATAAATTAATCACCATCCTTTGAGAAAGCTCACGGTAGAAGTTACTTAAAAAAACCCAAACAACAATATTAATTTTTGGATAGAAAACATTTGATGAAGTAATTCCTTGGTACCATCTCCAGACAAAACAGTTCTGAAATAATAATGAATTCAGGACACAAAGACTGTTTCCATTTAGGAAGAACAGCAAGAAACCCAACGCCTGCACTTAACCATAGTTTAGCATATGGTGTTACAGAGGCTGAGAGGTCCCTAGCTGGTATCTGCAGGCTACTGCCCATCTTCAAGAGACAATTAAGTGGTTTGCTGTCAGTCAGCAGCAAAGCTTCTCCCTTAAAAGTGCACCTGAGGAGCCCTACTTGCGATTTGCCAGAAGTTCAGAAAACGAAGGAAGCCACTAGAGGATGCTGTGGGGCTGTTATTGTCCACGTGTGAGACAGCAAGGGTTTCTGAAGAAAGACAAGGAACTTTGCAAAACGGGAAACTTTGAAAAGGGGAGCGGGGAAAAGAAGATGACCGAGCACTGGGGACAGGCTGGGAAGTGAGCAGAAGATGAATTTTGCTAAGGGAGGCATAAAGAGCGGTGGCCTGTAATGGCCTGGCAGCGATGAGGACACAAAGAAAACCTAAGTGAGGAGACAGTGGAATTGACAGGTAGCATGAGGAGCCTATGGCAGTTCTCTCGTCATTCTCATCATTTCCTCCCCAAAAGTAACGAAATAGCATTGTTTTAGGGAGACTGCATCCACTTATCACTACACAAACACCGCCTCCATCTTGTCCACAGCAATGCATCCACTTATCACTACACAAACACCGCCTGTTCTCCATCTTGTCCACAGCAGGGATTCAAAGGTCCACCTGGACAAATGACAGTTCGATTGCCCTATTCCCAGGCACCAGAGCCTTTTATAAGCCTAACCCTTCATCACACTTGCTACGTAATTCAGAAGGGAAACAGACTATACCACTTTTAAAGAAAGAAGGTACGCTCCCCAAAGAACAACCCCAGGCTCCAGTATAGGCTGGGGACAGACCTGTTGGAGAGCAGTGTAGGGGAAAGGGATCTGGGAGTCCTGGTGGACAGCAGGATGACCATGAGCCAGCACTGTGCCCTCGTGGCCAGGAAGGCCAATGGCATCCTGGGGTGCATTAGAAGGGGTGTGGTTAGTAGGTCAAGAGAGGTTCTCCTCCCCCTCTACTCTGCCCTGGTGAGGCCACACCTGGAATATTGTGTCCAGTTCTGGGCCCCACAGTTCAGGAAGGACAGGAAACTGCTGGAGAGAGTCCAGCACAGAGCCACCAAGATGATTAAGGGAGTGGAGCATCTTCCTTATGAGGAAAGGCTGAGGGAGCTGGGTCTCTTTAGCTTGGAGAAGAGGAGACTGAGGGGTGACCTCATTAATGTCTACAATTATGTTAGGGGCGAATGTCATGAGGATGGAGCCAGGCTCTTCTCAGTGATGCCCAATGGTAGAACAAGAGGCAATGGGTGTGAGCTGGAACACGGGAAGTTCTGCTTAAACTTGAGAAGAAACTTCTTTACAGTGAGGGTGACAGAGCACTGGGACAGGCTGCCCAGGGAGGTTGTGGAGTCTCCTTCTCTGGAGACATTCAAGACCCGCCTGGACGCCTTCCTGTGTAATTTCATTTAGGTTCCTGCTCCGGCAGGGGGATTGGACTGGATGATCTGTCGAGGTCCCTTCCAATCCCTGACATTCTGTGATTCTGTGAAGTGAAATCAGCATCATATGCAAAGATGTGATCAGAGCTACAAAGATGTTACTAGAGCTACATTCTATAGCAATATGATGTTCCAGAACACTGGAACCCAATATGCTATATAAAGATGAATTTTTGGGTGTTACGTTATACTCCCATTTACCTCAATTTCACAACAAGAATGTTAAACCACACAGGAAGTGCAGACTCATTGTCCCTATTTCTTTAAATGCAGTACATCAGTTTCTATACAACAGCAGAAAGAGAAGGCTTGTACTCAAGGATTCCTGCTAACTCTCTTTTTTCCATGAGAATCAAAAAGGTACCAATGAGACGGGAAAGACATTTAGTATATTGAACTTGTGACTAGTGGACTACCAAGAAAATGGCTGGTTTAATCTGTGATGTCTTTCATTACAGAAGCACATTAATTTAATAATTCTGAATTATTAAATCCATTCATCAGTTCAATATACAAAAACAAACTTGCAGCAAATTCACCTCAGTTACAGCAACAATCCAAACACAGATATTTAAGCTGCAACATTCAGCAAACTCAAGTATTAAATGCAAATCATTATTTGGCAATTTGGTAATCCATTACCTATTGGTCCCATCCTGGTTTTTTTTAAACTAGAATATTCTCTAATATAACAATTTCTATTAACTTATTTTATCCTTAAGTGTTCAACCAATCATAGTATATGGTTCAACCAACTATACCATAGTTTCAAATAATCTCATAAGCTTCAAGTTTTCTTCTACATAATTAAAATATATAGTGAAAAATATTACCTAAAACAACATGCAACTCAAAAATCCACAATCTAACCCAGCATTACAAACGGTCAGGTTAGTGCTATGTGCCTGGGGCCATGCCTCCATGTGACTGAAATTATGCAAGACACTGAAAAACTGGAGAACATTTGGGAAAAACAAGACATATAATCATCAAGAGAATACAGCTTGGGGAAAAAAAAAATCAGAGAACAGCAATCACTGAACAACAAGGACCCCCTCAGGAACCACAACACTGATGAAGAGTACAGGAGTTACAGTTCCCACCA